TATATATATATAATAAACGTCCATTAATAGGTCCAGGAAGTTAACTGTGCTTATGTCTTCACTAGGATATAACAATCTCGGAACAAGCATGGTAGTAGAAGTAGTAGTGTAGTGAACAGAACATGACTGGGGACAGTCGAATGTATTTAAGCAAATATTACAGACTATCTCAGTTAATTCTAATAACCATACAATGGACAGTTAATTTGCAAATTAACAACCAGTTGTTTCAATCTTCACTGTTTATTCTCTAATTTCATTGCTCATGAATTTTCCAAACGATTGCGCTTCATTTCAGTTCTTTTCTCATCGGTCTTCTGCCAATATACATTCTATGTCTGACCACACCATATACTACCTATATGGATATAAGTAGACCACACCACAGTAGTAGTAATTGAATCGGTAGAAGTGGTAGAAGTGATTGTACATGTTGTAGTTATAGTAGTGGTAGAAGTGGAAACATTCGAGCTAGTGTTAATAATAGTCGCAGATACCAATCTAGCAGTTATCGATGTGATAGTAGTAGTAGTTTTAATACTATTATTTGTAGTAGTACGAATGTTAGTAGTACTTGTATTAGTAGTAGATTAGTAGATGTGCTATTATTCGTAGAACAGTTACTTCAAGTGCCAGTGGTAGTGTTACTGCTTGTAGTGTTGACAGTAGTAGTGGTGGTAGTTCTTATGTACATACTTAAATTCGCCTGTTAACCCTCGTGAAGAAGCATTGGTCGCACACCAGCACTCTTCATCCAACCATGTCTTGGGTAATCCTGACCGGTTTTTCCATTTGTTATTCAACCTTTTGGTATCTGCCTCTATTTCTCAGCTCATCTGTGACCTTCAGCTTTCCCGTTCTCTTTCACGAAAAGACGATGGGGCATGTCTTGTGACGCAATTCAGTTATTTCCATAATGTATGTCCTATCCACTTTCAACGTCTCCTAATTTCTCCCTTAGCTGGAATCTGCTTTGTCCACTCCCACAAAAGGCTGTTGCTGATGGTATGCGGCCGGTGAATGCTGAGTATTTAGGGTAGAGAACTGTTTATAAATATTTGTACTTTTTTTATGATGGATTTAGTAGTTCTCCACGTTTCAGCTACGTACAGTAGGACAAACTTGCCACTGATATTGAAGTTTGTGCTTGTCTCCTGATGCAGTTTCGTTATTTCCACAATGTGTGTCCTATCCACCTCCGATAGCTTTGTAACGGAAAAAGCTGTGTCAGTGAAAGACGCACCAAACGAGAGCGTATGGTCTGTAAAATAGACTAGCTTACCTAATAACTTACACCTGTTACACCATGTGAGGGAGCGTAGACCACTCACCAGAATTTTCCACCTAACGCTGTTCTGAGAAATCCTTCTCAGTTCTTTCCAGTTGATATTGATCCTATCCAACTCTGCATCTAGTTCCCGGCGTAATGTGTTAATAGCCTTCCTGTTTCCTAATTCCCTTGCGGATTCCATAATAAAGCTTGTAACGTGATTCAGTTGGGTTATATCTACAATGTGTGACTATCTACTTCCGACATCTTTTCCTAATTTCCCTTTCAGCTGAAAGCTGGTTCGTCCTCTCCCACAGGCGTCGATTGATGATGGTATCCTCCAGTGGATGTTGCGTATTTTGCGTGGACAACTGGTTATAAATACTTGTACCTTCTTCACGATGGATTTAGTAGTTCTCCACGTTTCAGCTCCGTACATTAAGATCAACGTGCAGTTCATATTGAAGATTCTTACGTTTAAACTAGTTAACAGTTGTTTTGAGTTACACCTGTACTTCAATTAAAGAAATGCTATACCTGCTTGCCAATCCTCGCCTTTACATATTCATCGAATTCTCCTTGTTCATCAATGATGCTTCCCAGCAACGTGACTAATTAATTAATTGAAAGTATGTTTATTATTTGATTGTAATTTACCGTGACTATTTTGTTGTTCACTTCTGAAGAAATAAACAATTAATTTGAAATTTACTTTATGACATCTGCTGATTTGAGTTTATCACATATTCATCCATGAAAAAAATAATGTTATTAAAAATTGATTGTTTGATGATGAACCATAATGTCACAATTTCTAATGTGTACGAACGACGATTACGGAATCCAGCCAATTGATCTCGACGCTGAGCGTCTGGGGCGTCCCTCATATGGCTAAGGAACACTGTTGAAAGCGTTCCCTGGTATTGACAACAAATTGTTATTCTCACGTTTGCTGAGATCTTGGTTTTTGTATACTGATCAAGTATCCTTCTCCCAAGTCCGTTGGCACCTGTTCCTCTTCCTAAATGTACTTGAATAGAATGTGGATCATGTTTATGGTTAGTGAACGCCTGACTTCAGTGCTTCAGCTAGTATATAATATGTATATATATATTATTTTTTATATATTATCAGGTCCTGCTGCTTTCCTCCTCTTGATTTGTGTGATCTCCATCTTGATTTCGTCGATGGTTGATGGAGTGAGATCTATAGGTAGGTCAGTGTGCGCTCATTGGACGTCCGGTGGTTTAAATGGGACTGGTGTTTACAGCAGTTCCTCTAGTTATTCTGCCCATCTTGCTTTCTATATACTTGACTGGTCTCTCTGTTTCACTATATTTACCTGCTAGTTTCTCTGTTGTATCATATGGTTGTTACATATTGCCTTTCCTTGCAGCTTTTCACAGTGTCATTGCCAGCTCTTCCATTCATTTCTGTTTGTCGACTTTAATGCTTCTCTCCACTTGCTTGTAAGGTTCTGCGTACTCCGCTTGCATCATAACTTTCTGTGGTCGTGTTCGGCTGCTGTCAATCACTGTCTTCATGTTCTTCCTTTCTCATTTGTTCGTGGATACTATAGAGATCCATTCCTTATGATGACGCTAGTTGCGACACAGAAATTCTTGACACGTTGAAGTTAGAGATTTTTTGATCTATTTACAGTTGTCATCCACTGTGATTTCTTCTTTCAATGGATCCTGTAAAAGTGTACTTAACCTTTGTGTCGCCGTTTCTCGAACTGTCCAATGTCTCTTCAGTTTCAGTTTCATCTTGGCCACAACCAGGTAGTGGTCTGAAGCTATGTGAGCGTCTCTCCTGCTTCTCACATTTTTCATTAAGCTTTGAAGTTTTTCATTGAGACAAATACTATTTATCTATTTATGTGTAATGTGATCTTTCTGTATGCCTTTGTGACGGAATAATGCGCCGCCTAGAACCCTTTTGTTGAACGTAAATATAATCGCAAATCTCTTTTCATTTTCGTTTCTCGCCCTTAGCCCATGTCGTCCCATAATATTTATATATTCCCTTTCGTCCATTTCGACTTTGAGTCCCTCATCAGGATGGTCAGATCGTTTTTTGACACTTCGCAATGTCTGATTGCAGCCTTTCGTGTAACTGACTCATATTGTCGTCATCGCTATCATTAGTGGGTGCATAGCATTGGGTAATATTCATTGTGGTTTCCACTCCTTTTCTTTCGAGGATATTTCGATGATTCTGGATCCGTTAGGTTTCCATCCTACAAGTGCATTTCGCGCTTCTCTGGACAGGACGAGAGCAGCACTCTGAGGTTTTGGAACAATTTTCTCTTCTCGGTTGATGTACGGTAGCATCTCTCCTTTATATAACCTATGCTGTTCAGCTTGGTTTGAATCGTTTTCACTGACTCTGATTGATCCGAATTTGTATCTTCTGATTTTCGTTGCTATTTGACTGGTCTTCTCGGTTTCCCACATTGCCCGGATGTTCCATGTACCTATAAAAAGGTTGCTCTGGTTGTAGGAAGTGACATCGGCCTCATTAATTTTGAAAAATCTTGGCATTTGTTCTGGGGCGTCATAATTCTTCTTTCAAATCCTAGGGCAAAATTTAAATTGTTTAATACGATTGATCTGGTTGATTTTATGTTTGCAAAATCTTTTCCACGGAATTTGTATGACGACCGACAAAACAAAGGGTTCTGCTCATGAGCTTAACCACTGCATCCCGTGGAAAACTAACTCGCTACAAAAAGTCGAACCTGAAACATTTCACTGCATGCTACTCTGTTATTTGACGACTCCATGTAGACTACTATATGCAGTAGTAATTAAATAGTATGTCGATTTGAGATATAGATGTTAATAGTTTGGATTATGTTCATTAGAATAAATTATCATTATCGTTCATGGAAAAAAAAATGTTATTTTAGAGTTTTGCAGATTGTTGAAGGTTATTGAAATTATGGAACTGTCAAACTTAAACACCAATGGAAACCTGGGAGCAGTGACCGTCAATTTCATCACAGTATGATACTCATCACATCAATTTGAGTATGAAGTTGTGCTGTTGATGAATGGATAGTCAATCTTTAGTCAATAAGGTATATTTGTTCCGCTATTGAATTATCAATTCCTAGCAATTTCCAAATGTTAGTTAAACGTGATTTACAGTTTGTAGTCAATGACTTGATGAACCCACATGTGGTGGACAATCGAATATATTTGAATACGAAATTTTTTAATATTTTTGTAATTCCGAGGACTGGTATGTGCTGACATTGCCCCATATAACTATAATACAACAATTACTACTGCTATCACTACTACCCACATAACCAATACTACAATTGTTTTAATCCTTCAAAAACTTTAAGAAATAATTCAAGCGCTTGAATAGATTCAATTGAATATAGTTCCGGTAAATTTTCTTGACTTTGAAAATGGTATACAACACATTCCACAAAAACAGAAAACAGTTGTCTGGATTCTAAAAATTACACAATAGATACAATATTATTCTAACAAGGTCACTTTTTAAGCCTCTAGATTTATTTATGTATAGATTCATGAATTGTCTAGCTTATGTATGGTATAACTTATCCTTACCAGAAATTTCGATGTTTGTATTTACTGATTATTGATATGACTGGCATATCATTCATTTCGAATTACCTTGAACTTGTGAATTCCGAATCAGTTATATATGATATAAAAGTAGAAGAATAATGAATGAAATTCCAACAAAAATGATAAAGAATACGATTCTCTTTCTTCTATTTATCTTGCTTCAATTATTTGTTCATGAGTTCATAGAAAATGGTAAATTATCGGATATACGTAAATGTATTTTGACAAAACGTATACAGTTGACATAATGAGACAATTGCAGCTGGACCACCATGTAAAGTCTGGAAATACTTGCGCTCGCTCTCGAGACTGATAGTTCCTGGGATCAATCTCTCGAAGCAGGATCGTAGATACGCACTTCTGAAAAGTCCCGCAATAGGACAAAATAGACGTTCAATGCTTTCATGTTTTCCATAGAGTTGTAGCTTCAATTGGCTCATGATCTAAACTTTATAAATATATATATATATATATATACATATATGTTATTCAGGTGAAGGATTATGAATGATTTATTATATTTCTTATTAGATTCAAATTGGAGAAAACAAATGATAATAAATGAAATAAAAGGATTACAGAGTAAGTGTTCTTGTTAAAAATTTCAATTATTAAACTTGTACAATATTAACATTTGCATTGTTCTTGTTTTTTATAAAAATGATTATGATGGTTTACGTGTGCAGACCATTTGAACATTGATGAACCGGGCAGGACTTGCTCTCATTCTCGAGAAATATAGGTTTTGGGACCGAGCCACACGAGGCAGGATCGTGAATGAGTTCTGCTGAGGAGTCTGGTGATGGGACGAAACGGCCGTCAAGTGCTTCTAGGTTTTACGTGGTGGTGTAGCTTCAATTTACTAGGTTTCAGTTTGAAAAGGACAGGAGTCTTGATGGCCTGTGTTAGCCCTGGATATGGTAGTCTCTCATGTGATCCAGCTTTCTTTTGATATGGTCGATGGATGTAGCCTCAACCACGTGCTGAGGTAATGAATTCCACTCGTTGATGATTCGATGGGAAAAACGCTAGTCAGCTGACAAGTTATTCGTTATGGGCTTGTGAACATTTTTGGAGTGTCCTCGTGAATTTTCTCTTTTGGGAGACAAGAAAAATGAGGGCATATCAGATGCAAATTTATCACTATGCAATTCGAAAACTGCAATAAAGTCGCCTTTTATTCTTTGATATGACAGTGGAAATGGGTTTAGCTTGGTCAGCCAAGTACCTAACGGGAGCTTCGCTTTTCCGGGAATCAGCATAATCGCTGCTGTCTGGAGCGTTTCCAAGAGTTCACTGCCTTTGTTTAGGCAGGGGCTATCTGCTCAAGTACTCAAGTGCAGGACGCACGAACACTGTATACAAGGTCAGAATCGTTTTGGTGTCGATATGACTAAACGCACTGCGTATGGACCATAAAGTCCTAAAACCTTCGGCGGCTATTGCATGGCAGTGTGAAGTATTCTTTAAGTCCTGACTAACGATGACTCATAAGTCATTTTCTGTCTGGACGATAGGTAGCTCAATGTTATTCATCGTGTTTGTATCTGTACCCTGATAGCCTTTATGCATCATAATACACTTGGAAGTACTTATCGGCTATTTCAGATAATTTCTCCAGGTCATTTTGGAGTTCTAAGCTATCGCCCTTGCTTTGTATCGCTCTCCATATCTTGACATCGTCAGCATAGAGTAAGACCGATGACGATAGTAGACGAGGGAAGTCATTTTCTTACAGGTGGAATAACACTGGCCCCAAAACTGTACCCTGGGGGACTCAATTAAGCACAGTTTCCCAGTTAGACTACTTGAGTCCTTCCGTACTCTTTGTTGACGCCCAACTAGGAAGTCTTTTATCCACACCAGTGGATTGCCTCCAATCCCGACATTCCTTAGCTTATGTAACATCCGTTTGTGCGGAACTTTGTTGAAAGCTTTGCTGAAGTCGATGTAGACTACGTCTACAGATAACTTGTGGTCCTTAAGAGCGCACCAGCTTTCACGAGCGACCAATAAGTTAGTGAGACAAGAGTAACCTGTTCTAAAATCATGCTGCTTATCCGAGAAGATCCGTTTATCATCGAGATACTTAAACAGCTCCTTCCGAATAATGTTTTCTAAGATTTTAACAACCACACTAGTTAGGCTGAAGGGTCGGTAATTCTCAGGCTTATGTTTTGTACATGTTTTGAAGACTGGACTTACTCTGTCGTTGTTCCGGTCTTTTGGTAGATGACCCTGGATTACGGATAGATTAAAACATATGCTTAGAGGATTCGGAACAAAGTAAGCCAATTCCTTTAGTAACCCGTAATGCAGTTCATCGAGTCCAGTGCATTTGCCTATGTCAAGCTAAATTAGCAGACCAAAGTCATCGACTTCTTTAATGGTCACGCTGTCCAGTGTCTCTGTGAAGGGATTTTCATGGACTGTTGAGAAGAGTGTTTCTATGGTATATACATTGCTAAAGTATTTAGAGATTACTTGAGCTTTGTCAAAGTCGTCCTACACTAGTGATGAGGCAGAACTGTCACCCCATAGTAAAGAAACATTTCTTCTTCTTTTTGTCCTTTGGTTTATATACAAATACAAGTGTTTTAGGCATTCTAAGGATTCCTTATCGATTTTCTCTTCGTACACTTTCTGGACATACGGAGGGTCGAGGCACAAGTATTCCGAGCTTTTTGATACTGATATTTTGCCTAATCAGTCCCTAGTAACCTTAATCTATCCCATTTATCCATCTTTTACGGAGAAGCATGCAAACCTCCCTACTGAACCACTGTAGGGAGTTTCTCGTCCCCCTATGTGTAGTCCAAATGATGTGGAGGGCGGTAATTTTAAAGTATAAATTTCGGAATACGCCCGAAGCCATTTCGATTGATGATTCTGGGTCTATTGTTCAATCTACTGATGATGCTGAGCGCATGATATCTTTTATGTTTGACTTCCAGACTTTAGGCGTGGATTTAGCTGAGGCGTGCTCGTGATAGACAGTTATATAAAAGTCCAAGGGTAAAACTGCATGATCACTATTGCCTAAGGGTGGCATGATCAAAACTACTAAATGTTGAATTATCAATCAAATGTCAAATTTGTAGGATCTCTTCAGAAAAATATGGAGTTAATAAGATCATATGACCGACGTATCAAACTTTTAATTGGTAAGTTATTGGTGAATTCATGAGATGACCTTTAATTTTATGACATGTCAGTATATCATCGATTATCTGTATATGATGAAATAAATGTTCATCAATTCTCTTACATAACATGAACATGTTAATATAAAGTACACTAAATGCAATTTTATAGTAATGGTATAACAAATTCTTGATAAAAATTATTTATCAGTCACGGTGGAAAAAACTTGTAGTTTAGGTGAATGATTTTGACGAAGGTTTGTTCTCTCGATGGATGAAAAAATCAACCAACTGAATTCACGAAAACAAAAAGCTGTAAAGAATCTCAAATGCAGTCATGCAGAGTCTAGAAAATGAGATCTTTCTAAAGCTCAAGAGAAAATTTTGAATCCGTTGTGAAAATGACATTTTCGTCGTTGTCAAAAAAGATGAACTACAAAACACGAACAAGCTTACCTACAACGTCTTCAATGACATCACTTTCACCATGTAACGGGAGTCAAACGACAGGCTAGCGTTCGTCGGAAAGAGGCAATTTGAAAAACAACAGAGAATTTGTAGAATCTTGTAGTTCAGGTGAATCGGAAATAAGCATGCACATTGAAATCGATTCAATTTAACAACCAATCAGGAAAATTATGCAAAAACATAGGAACAAAAATCAATCGAAATGAATATGCAATCAGAAAACAAAGAAGTAAACGATGACATAGTTGTGATCAACAAGAACCAATCGAGATCAAAGTGTACAGGATAAGCTGTGAAGCACATGTGTAGAAATTCAAACACTTTACTTTTACCTAAAGTTTGTGCTGATGATGTTGTTGAGAAGGACGATGAATGCTTCACGACCATACCATTCGGCTTAGAGAACAAAACTCTATCTAATTATTTTCAATCATTTATAAAGTTAGTAAAGTGCCTTAAATTAATTACAGTAATAAGAGGAGTAAATTGTGTACTTTTATGAAGGAGTTGGATTCGTGGGTTGAATAAATCTATACCACCACTTAATAAAATCTGCCTGGACCTTTTCTTCGGGGACTGCCGTTCCCGAACTCAAATAAAGGAGGACGCCTGGGATTAAAATCTAACTTGCTGAAAAAACGCTAACGAGAAAAAAATAATTGAAGTCATTTATACTCTGTCATGGGAGTAAGAAGGTCTTCATTCAAAAGCGTCATGATGTCTCGTTATAAAAATTGAGTTTCTTCTGTCGTCACGAAACAGATGTCCCTTTTGGCAGCCACAGCAACCACTATTTAGTATGTGGAATGTTCATACAACATGGGACAGGGAGAGGAATCTAAATTGCTGCAGAAATGAAAAAACACAATCTTTGGGTGCTTGGAATCAGTGGAACATGTTAGACGCTAATAGGACAAGACAGGCTAGCTTGAGGAGAGGTGCTGTTGTAATTCATTCACGAAGAATAAAATGCTCCACATAAACAATGAGTTGCTCTGATGCAAGAGGATAGAAGACATGACAACTAAAAAAGAGGCTGATATAGCCTCAGATCATTACTTGTCGATGAATTTGAAACTTAATAAGCATTGAATAATAAAGAATACAGCATAACAAAAGTTTGATGCGGCGTTTATTCGGGATACTGGCTAACTCAACAAATTCAGGATAGCCGTCAACAATAAGTTTCACGTCTTTCAAATCATATGTGACTAGATCAGATAACTTGATTTCATCAAAATAGGTCGGAAATAGTTTATTGTTATTTTTTTCATAAATGAATATTTGATAAGCTCAAATCTGTGTATGTTATAGAATAAATTTCAAATTAAATGTTTTATTATTTAGAAGAAGATAGGAAAAATGGTCGTGGTTACTTACGACGAAGTAATGGATGTATGTTTAATTATTTCATTATTCAATTAACTAGTCACGTAACTGGAAAGCATCATTGAATAAGAAGTACTATCCCATGCAGAAGTGTAGGCGAGGATTGACATAGCAGGTATAGCATTTCTACAACTGAAGAACATACGGAACTCTGAACAACTCTCAACTTATTTCATAATCAAAATCTTTTATACGAACGTCAAAACAGTCTGACTGTAAGGAGCTGAAACCTGGAAGACTACTAAATCCTTCGTCAAGTAGTTGCAAGTATTTATAAACAGTTGTATACGCAAAATACTCAACATTCACTGACCGGACACTGCCAGGAACAGCATTTTACCGGAGAGGACAAACCAGTTTTCACTTGAAAGAGAAATTAGGAATAGACTTTGGAAGTGGACAGGACATACATCAGGGAAATCACCAAACTGCATTAAGGGACAAGCCTTTATATGGAATACGGACAGGAAGAGGAATAGAGTAAGGCCATAAAACACATTACTCCAGAAAATAGAAGCAGATATGAAATGGAGTTAAAGGAACTAGAAAGAACTGGAAAGGTTTGTCGAGGACAGGGTGGGATGAAGTATACTTGTGTGTGGCTTATGCTCCTTTGAGAGGGGTAACAAGCGTAAACAGTGGTAGTACCTTTCTTTAAAAATAAACATTGATTAATATATATTTTTTTATTTCTTCAAATAATATTATCTATTACAGATGTACAATGTTTAGTCAACATGCTATACAATGAATATAATCATGATCTTATGAGGGGTTTGTTAAATAGTTGTTATATTATAAAAGCGTATTATTTTTTGGGCATGAAAATTTGTAATGCTTAATAATCTAGATGACTGTTGTTTTCGGTAATTGATCATGGTCTTCTCGTTTCCATTTCCGTCGTTGGAATTTCAAGTTACGAATCTTCAGATGATGAAGTTTGATGATTTCTGTAATGTTTGTCTCATTCACTTCCAGAGTCTTCATATAGTTTTCTCTTCAGTTCGAAGACATGGTGTTCTCTATCATGGTAGGTTGTTGTAGAATGTATTCAGGCAATGGACACTAAGTTTCTTCACAGTTAATTGCTTATAAATACTTGGACTATTTTGATGTTAGTTGTATTAGTTCAGCTTTTATCAATTACATCTACTATACAGATTTTCAATCAACAGTTAAGATGCTAATTCAAAATAATATCAATTAAGTACATGTCTCCAAGCGTCATTGGATGAATCTTATTCAAGTTTTATTCTAAAATACTGGTCAAGAAAAAAGGAAAAATTTCAAAGAACCGAACAATTTCATGACTCTTCGGTGAATTGGAGTTTCCATATTGTTTTATTAAGTGTAATGTATACCAGAACATAAAACATTTCAAATTAGTTCACGTATTTTATCTATTTCACATGTAAATATCTTAGAACTTGTAAACGTTGTGGATGATATAGAACAAAGGTATAGTAAGTGCTTAAAATAAATGAATATTTTATTTCACAATGATGTTTTTGTAATTTATTATTTGGATTCATAAATTAGTAAAAGGTAGAGAACCATGGAAAAGGTGAAAATACTGGATAGTGGTTTGATCCTAGCATGGCATTCGTGAACTGTGTTTATCCACTATCCCCACCTCGAAAGATTTGAACCTAGGACTTATCATCTTAAAGAATCTCACTGATTTGTTGATTCTAGACATTAACACCATCGGATATAAACTCAGTAGAATCCTATAAATGGGAGCGTGGTTGTACAATACTGTATAGTGGCATATTAGAACGAAAAGACAGTTCAATACTTTCAGGTTTTCTATGGTAGAATAGCTTAGATCGACTCATGAATGCAACTATTGAATATTTTATAACATATAAACACTATATATGTATATATGTATATATATATGAAGTTCAACTTACTGTTATGTATACAGTACATTGTTGAAATGATCATTAACTTGATATACAGTATTACTTGAAATATAGTGTTAATTCATAAATGCTTCAATTTTATACAAATGACTGTCGATTATTTCTATTAATAAACTATGTAGACATAACTTATCCAAAATCACGCACATGGAAAGAATGTTTTACTTACAAAACGAAAATTTACCGATGTATGTTTAAACAATGTAATATGTATAATAGGCATTTATCATGTAAATAATTAGTTTAGAATTATGATTTTGAACTCTTCCAGGCGAACCAATTTTGTTCGTCAACCTGAATAATGTGCTGAGCAATTTTTTTCGCCATCTCGATTTCATAAAACACAACTCATCTACAAGAACGCAGTTGGTAGAAATTTTGTGTCATTGGCTAGATACGTGTGTCCATGTGAAGGCATTTCAATGTGGTAGAGCTTTCTCTACAAACTCCATGCCGTAACAAGGAATGTGAGACAGAAGTATTATTCACATAATATCTTCGTGTATAACGTGTGGTGTTCATTATTATATTCGGAAATGGTCAGAGACGTGTAACACTGATTTGTGAAAAATGATGTTCCCCGAAGGATTAATATTCGTAGTATCTATTTTTATGCTAAAGAAAATATCATCCACCTAATTTCGATTATGGTCAATATCGGTTAAGCAATGTAATTAATTTACTCAGAAGACGTTGTCATTTGGATAGTAATAGTTCGCCAATATCTTTGTATTATTGCGATCACTATAGCATATGACAGACTGGATCCAAAACGTTGATTGCTTAAATGTCGTTTCATGACTCAACTTGCTAGCCAGATATGTATGCACTGAAATCCTTTTACTAGCTTTTGTTTTGTCTTGCTGCACATTTATACAATTAGACTGTAAATTTGCCTATGTAATTGCTCGTGCTGGGCCGCTGACACTTACTCATATGCTTTTAGCTTTGTGGCCGTCATTATTTGATAATAAACTGTTGTTGCAGCTTCTCTTCGCCTTCTGATTTTATGCAACGTTATGTGTTGTATTATAACGGTTATCAATATAAACCATCAGCAAAGCGCTACATAACAATTGTATGGGGTGTTGTCACATTAGTAATATTTTATTGATAACGTTTCAAACCGTGAATTTGAGTTACACAATCACGAAACTTTGCAAAGGATTATTGATTTGCTTAATACGCAGTAAAGTTTCAATATAAAAATTTATGTAGCTTATCTTTTATTTTCATATTTAAACAGACCTGACAACTGAATATAACCTGAAAATATGTGATAAACTAAAAGAATACGATGAACATGGTATAAAAATATAAATTAAGCAATAAATTACTTATCATATAGAAAGCAAATTGAATGTTTAATTCAGAATTTGTTTATATTAAATAACACTTCTACTACTTGAAATAGAAAAACTTTCTATTTTCCAATACTCAACTTAGTATGGTGAAGCCTAGTAGGCCCTCCTGATGAAGATTGATATTTCGAAGCACGACACGACTACAGGGGCTCATAGGTTGTTTTTGCATTGCCTACGCAGAATCAATACATCTTTCTTACTTTTCTCTATCTTTTCAGGCAGAACTTTCATTCGTTCATTCTCTCTTCTTTTTTTTAGGCAATTCATTCACCATTTCTTTTTGAACCGATAATATTTGTACAATGATTCCTTGTAGCTTTCGTAATCGGTTTGTGAATTAAAATAGAGTAGGTGATTAGGCTGTTCTCCATCACCTGAATACCGCTCACGTTAGTTCATGGAAACGTCACGTTATCCACTTAGCTACTGATTCTTGATAGCCACCTGCATGTGCATTATTTTGATGTTGTATTCACCTGGTTTTGTTGACTTGTATCTTCTCATTGTTATGAATTACTAAAATTGATCAGTCTCTTGTTGTCATATGTACAACTTGTGTGGATTAACTCGATATAATCTTATGTCATAAACAAATATAAATGTTTTACAATTTGTGATAAATCGTTTCATTAATCATAATATAATCAAGATTTCTAGAGATTAATCATGTTTAATTTCATAAATATAGTACAGAAAAATTCAACCTGTTGTGGATAATAGACTATAGAACTTATCAACTTTCTATAATCCACTGTTTAATCAAAACTGACATAAATATCGAAATGGTGGAGTAGATTTGTGGCCTAGGTAAATAATTTAAATGAAGTTTTGTTCTCTGTATTGAAAAATTCGGTCATGAAGCTTCTATTAATGTTCGGAAACATATCATCAGAACCAATTCCAAGTAGAATTGAAGTATTCAAGGTTTACAGACAAGCTGTGAGCCATATGTAAGGAAATTTAGACACTTTAATTCTTTCTGAAGTTTGTTCTGATGATATCATTCAGAATACCAATAAAAGCTACACAACTAAACCATGCAGCCCAGAAAACAAACCTTTGTATGCCATATAAATATTTTCAATATTTATACTTTGCTATCATTATTGTGTATTTGTAGAAGAGTTTGAAGTTTATCACTCATATTTTCTTACTTCCTAACATAGAATTACTATTTAATTTTATAAGATACTGATGTGTTATCTATCTGGACGCGTATTCAACATACACATATCAGTCACTTCAATCTTGATTTATGTAAGTTATCCCAGTTTTATATTCAATAAGTTGTCGAATCTATAATTTATGAACAAACCAATCACATATATCATAACAGGTCTTAAATTTCTGTGTGCAGTACACTCATCCATTTGACTAAACAGCGTCTTAGCATTTTATATGGTGTCAGTTTATGATGGACACCTTAAATGTAATCCCTATGCCTAATTAATAAATGTAGACCATATTTGCAATCCCTCATACTAGTTTATAATCCTCATTTGCCTGAGGTGGACCCTCGGAAGTTCACTTATGCGACGTTCAGGTGTCATTCATAAATAATGGCCTCACTCGATTTTATATAAATAATTCACTCATCACACAAGCTCTTGAAATTTATAACTGACTGATCAATTGTTTCAAATGTAAACGTAGATATACATGTAGCACGTTCGTATTAGTTTTTCAGTTGATAGGATGGTTTATTTTAAAATAAAAATTCTATATTTGATTCTATTTTCAAAGTTAAAATAATGATTTGATCATTACTTAGACCCTTATAAAACAGGTGAAGGGAATAAATAGCGATTTTATTACAGTATATGACTCTTTACTAAAGCCTATCCACTTTCACATCAGAGGGAACCGAACAAATGGGCTTCCTTCCTCCCAAACAAATATTTCACCTCTAAGTCATTGAACTGCCAGGTAGTGATTTCCATATTTATCCAATTTTATCTCAATTTATTAAGTTTAACTTTGTATTTTTCCAGTTAATTATCGATTCCTGTCAGAACTTGCCAAGATTGTGAACAATTAGGATGAATCGCGTAAGTGCAAGTTTGAATAGATTAGGCCAAATATGGAGAAATCATGTTGTATTCATTTCGTCCGATGAAATTTTATCAAAATAATTGAATGATCTGCGAAAGAAATAATAAGAGAGAATATGTATTTATCTTTCGCTCACGAAACAACAAGTTCAAGAAAATACATAAATGGAATCAAACTTGATGGAAAAGCTTTGAAGTATGTAACATCTTTTACACATCTGAACAGCATCATTGATGAATACGGTGAATCCGATCATGACGTGAAAGTGAGGATCAGCTTGGCGGGATCAGAATATCTACAATAGTAGAACATGTAGAACTCAAAACAACTGTCTGTCAACCAACACCGAAATTGGAATTGTCAATACAAATGTCAAGACAGTTCCACTGTATGTGACGGAAACTTGAAGAACTACGAAAGCCGTTATGGAGAAGATACAAATGATTATTAACAGTTGTCTACGAGCGATACGTTGACCAGACACTAAGATTGAAAACCTACTGCGAGAGGGAACAAACCACATATCATAGGAGAAAGAAGCGCCGGAAAATGAATTGTGCACACAGTGTAGAAAGCACCTAACTGCGTCAGAAGACAAACCCACACTTGGAATCCTGAATGTCAGGAGGAAGGACGACGAACACCTTGATCCGAGAATTGAGTAGGACTAGAAAAGAATGCTTAGTGCAGATTAGGTTTAACATTGCTAGTGGGCGGCACATGCTCCATTGAGAGTAACAGGTGTCAGCAAGTAATTGCATAATAGTTAAATGATTATTGGAATGGTTTTTATAAGACATAATGAGCGATTATTTCCGAAACGCTTAAAACAGAAGAATAATAAATGACCTGTAGATTAAAATCACAGACTGACATTAGTGTGACATTAGGTAATACTTCATTTCCAAATATCAATCAATCGTCTGAAGTTTCAATGTTCATTTTATTTCTATATCAATTGCTTTCTGTTCCCATTCATTCCTTCTCGATCTTCTTGTGCTTCTGCTGCCAGACATTCTATTTCTGTCTAACATTATATATACTACCCATATCTCTATACATAGCACACATCATAATAGAATTTTCTATTACAAATATAGATAAAACACTGAAGTTATCAAGTAACGAAACAGTTAGTCTATGAGAATAATAAGAACTTGGAATGAACAATGTCTAACATTATTGCCAAATAACTCATTGAACTTCATTGTTTCTTCTTTACTGTAAACAGTTAAATAACTAACAATTATCACCGATAATTCTATTCTTCTTAACAAAAACAAAAGTACTGTTGGTAGTAGTAGTAGTAGAAGTGGTACTACTAATGATAGTAGTTGATATTGTACTAGTACTATTATTTGCAGAAGTATAAATGTTAGTAGTATTAGTTGTATTAATAGATATGGTATTGTGCGTAGAATTGTCATGTCTAGTGCCAACGGTGGTTTTAGTATTAGGACTAGTAATATTAGTTGTAATAACTGTGGTAGTACCAATGTTCAGGTGATGACAACCAAGTAGACTGAACTATGATACTAAAGAATATCTTGGCCAAATATGAGAACCGGTTCCACCATTGTTGTTCTGAACGACAAACTTCGGGTGGACTTGAATTTGTAATGATGATGTCTTTTCGAAGGACATTGAAATCTTCACAAACAAACCATCTAACTGAGATATTATACTCAATCAAAATCATCAATTTGAGCTACGAATCATCTTCATCTCTGTGGTAACATATAACTCTTACATAGATATTCACATAAAATGAAGAAAACGTCTTAACGTCAAGGAAATAGACGTTTTCGGTTTGTAACAGAATTTCGGTTGATTAATGTCAGACAAACTAAGCACTTGAGACTTGTTATTCAGTAACACAAATGTGCGTAAGTGAAAATAAATTAGGTTATCAGTAGACTACATATATTAATATTATGGTTTTTAGTGTAAGTACTAGTATTAGTAGCAGTAGTAGCATTGGAAGAGATAGAAGTAGCGGTGGTAATAATAGTGTAACTTCATATATGTTTGAAATCTATGAGTGAAGGTCGTAGTGTGATGAACGGGAACAAATGTGGGGACCATCAAATGTATATGAGCACAAAATAACAGAACGTCATACTGAAATCTGGGATCCATACCGTTAATAGTTCATTTGCAAAATACCAATTACCTGTCTTAGATGTTGTTGTTACCTTGTTTACACATCAATCATTCTCTTTCGTCATTATCTTTTTTTCGATGTCCTCAACCTTCCACCTCCAGACATTTCACTTTCGAATGATGATACATACTACTTATATCCGTCAAAACCATTAACACACACATCACAGTAGTCTACATTCCAAATGTAATTCCATATTATTTGAAAATTTTAGAACAGGTTCAGAAAAAGTTACATATTTACAAGCAATGGACAATAAATAATGTAATGAAATGTGATGATTGAAAGTAATTGAAATATGGAATAAACTAGGATTTTGAGAAATAAGGCAATTTACTCAAGAAGTACTAGATGAACAGGAACGAATGTACTGTATTTGTAATTCGAAATCAAAACAGTCATCAATACAAAGATATCATTGTCGTATGTAAAAACCCCGTCCGCCACAATTTGAATTGAAATACAAGTATTGTTCTTACGTTCATGATACATCCATCCAACAGTGTATTGGGTTTAGCCTTTGTACTATCTGGAATGGAGTTGTTCTTATTAGAAATAACAACAGAAATCGGATACCACCCACCCGATTTCGAGAATTATATACAATCATCCGGTAGGTTGTGTAGTGAAAACACTGATATTTATAATTTACAGTACAGACTTTCCAACACTATCCTTCCACACGAAATAATGTTGGATGCGTACGTCGCCGTGTTAAGACAAATTTGACGCTTACAATTATCATTATTTTCTTTTACCTCACGCCTCGATCATCATGTGTGAGTATTTGGGGATAAACACTGACACGTAATTTGAAGCATTCCACCATGTGACTATGACGTTCATAAAACTTATGATACATATTCTTTGCGTTATTCATATTAGAATACACAGATAAATATGCATTGATATATGTAATTACCACATGTGAGTTATCTGGGCTTGATTCACTTGCAAAATAATCAAATGGAAAACATACATCTGCCTCATAATCAATAAAATACTCTTGAACTTGATTTGGATGCTCTACCTGTGAAAACGCCATATCTTTGCTATCTGGTTCACTGACCGCTTCAGAAAAACTTGCCATTCCATTTGATTCATCCTACCATAGACTGAATATTCTACTTGATACATATTGGTTTTGGAGAATATCTAATATCTGATACAATAACATCAAAAATGTGACTACGATTCGAATCATTTCGAACACACTTGTCACATTGATTAAGAATATCTCCAGAGTAAAATCCTATGTAACGACAAATAACATTTGATATAACTTCGGAATTTCATTTCTGAAATATTTTCCTCACATTTTTCAAGAATTTCATTAGAGAAAAATGGATCCTTATAAAGATCAGCATAACTGAATCCGGTTTTTTGTCATGATTTGACTCATTCAACATTTTATCCTCAGACTTGTTGGAAATTTCATCAGAAATATATCAATCATCAAGAAAAACCATATATGTCGCAAGAACACTAAAAGTCTGATAAGAAACTGGTTGATTGGAAACTTTCGTCTCACAATGATTGTGAGTTTCATTCAACTCAGGAAAGCTATGATGTAACGTCATACCACTTCTCAAAGTCTCAGATAAAAATAAGTGATCATTAAAAACATCCAACTTAGTGGGATCGCAACCACGAATTCGAGCATAAGTTTCAGCAAAATGAACCATAGTAATACAAAGTGACTGAATGTGTTCAGTTTATAACTACATTTGAAACATTCGTAATTACGGAATACACATGAATTACATAGGTGAAACTTGCCATAGAACAAGCAGTCACCAAACTTGTACTCATCTTCGTGAACTGTTACTCAACTCAATGAGTTGAAATTTGAGTTACCTTGATTAGCTTGAAGTGACCGGCCAGTCTCGATAAGAACATGACTGGAATAACAGAAACAATTATTATTGTTGTAACCAATTGTACCAGAGATTGTTTTATTGTATTTGTTTAACTGTATCAGATTCACTTCTCGTTTCGCTATCCGCCTACTTTGGTTTGAACTTGCTCACGCACTGCCCATTTCGCCTGTACCCTTTGGCACGTCTCGGTATTATTTCCATATCACGAGATCGCCAATAAATATACTTGATCTGGATTAATAAAGCCTTCTGATTTAAAAGTTATCAAAGGAACCAAGTTGTGTTTTGGCGCGTAATCGAATAGTAGTGGTGATCATAGTCCGTCCTCTACTCGACATCCACTAAAAGCTATTTGACTGAGACCACGTAGTAAAATATTGGAATTCTTTATGTCCTGGAGAATCATTTCATGGAATTTTTCTTCTTTACTGTATTCGAAATTTGTATACTTTACATGGTCCAGTAGTAGTTGTTTTAAAATTGCGTGAGGGAGATAAATCGGTTTGTATGGAAATGACAAGTCTTCATTAGGCTGTATGCTTCTTTTCCGATGAATATAGGGAAATGGCCAACAAAATTAAAGTCCTCAACATCTTTCTTGGTCATCATCCAGATTTCAAACCTTTCCATGTAATCACCAAAAGCATCAAAATCTGAATGAGTGTTCAACCGTTGCGTCATTGGCTCCATCGCGACGACACTGTGGTTTTTAAAAGTATATGAGTTATAGTATGAATTAGAAATCCGAGAAATAACGCAAATTAATCAAAAATTGCCGGTAGAAAACAAAGGAAGTTGCTGAATTTGAGATTTGAATTCAAAACAGTCATCAATACGAAGAAATCATTCTTTCATGTAAACACCACAGAAGGGTAAACTAATGTCGTATAGTGAGGATTAGATATCCCTATGATTTTGAAATAAGTGTCATCAATTTCTGTC